CATTTATTTTCATCAAAGTGGTTATTTGCTGTTTCCCTCTTGCCTTCACCATGCCCTGTGAGTATTAATTTCTCCAAGTCTTCTTTTCTCATGATGTGTTCCAAAAATTTCATCTGACTGTTTCTGATTGTAAGCAATGGTTTATTTGTGGTTTCTATTCTTGTTAAGACTTCCTCATATGCCACATGCACTGCTCATGATAGTCTTAACATGTCAGTAGAATCACATCTCTTGTCACTTCATCTTAATCCATGAGGAAATTGTCCAGCATTGGATATTATATAGGAGATCAGTACAATTTTATGTTTTTGAGGATATTTTCTGATATCTTAATATATTGTTCAGTTTCCGAAAGACGTCTTTTGCTATTCCTGTATGCCTATGCTGTTCCTAATCTTCATCAACGACCTTCTTGTTATCACCAGTTCCCAACTTGCTATTTATGCTGATGATACAAATATTTACTCCTATCTTAATAGTAAGTCTGAACGATTTGATAACGTTAAATTGGAAGCTGATCTAGAAAAAAAAAAAAAAAAAAAAAAAAGAAAAGAAAATAAATGAACTACAATCTGGTGTTAACTGGGACAAGAAATGGCTTGTGAATTTTAATGCTTACAAAATGAAACGTATATAAGAGAACCTTTTTTTTGGACTTCCATCAGCATAACTGATTGCAACTTTAGTCTACCATTCATCTATCCATTGACTATTGCTGTCACATCTGGTCTGGTGCTTCTGCTATGTATAAAGAAGAATTTGCAATGTTATTGGTCCTGACCTGGCAACTCAGACTCCATCACTTTTCTCACCATTGTAACATAGCTTCCCTGTGCCTTTTCTATAAATACTTTCATGGTAATTATTCTGATTAGCTTTCCTCTTTGGTATCTCGACATTATGAATTTAAGCACAGTACTAGATTGTAAAATAATGAGACCTTGCGACAATCAAAATGGCTAGATGTAACTGTAAGTTCTATTCTAACAGTTTCTTCTCTCATACTTCTTACTTGTGGAACTCTTTTCTGGCCTGTTGGTTTCCAGTCAACTTTCATCTTCAAAAATTTAAATGCAATGTCAATTGTTATTTTCTGTCTTCTTAATTCCAGTTCTTGTTCTTTCTACTTAATGTTTTCCTTTTCTCATATTCTCTAACACTAATATGTCTTAGTGGCTTTATTGACTTGCTTGGGGTGAAATGATTAAAAACAAAATTTTATATCACGCATTCCCTTATCTTGAGTTACATGATGCTATTTTCTCTAAACATTTTTCCTTCTTCCATCCATAACTAGACTGTACTCCTTATTGTAGTTAACAATATATACCTTGCTATCAGGTCATCCCATAAGTTCTGTCCAAATTTTAACTTTTTGTTAAAATGAACAAAATTTAAAGAGTATTTTATAATGCCTAATGGAGCTGAACATTATTTTTATGTTTAGATGCATTTAAAATGATCAAATTTTATTTCAGAGAACAATAAAATAAAATAGTTGGTGATTTTTTTTGGGTACCATCAAACCCCACCCTACCTGGTCTTTGTTCCTAATTTTTATGAATGGCCTAATATCATCAGGATGTACAGGTGGATAGCAACTTGGAATGATGAATTGGAAAGCAGAGTTCAAATCCAGTCTGGTTAGTTACATTCACTTATGCATAAATAACCTTGGGAGAAGTATGGGATAAGTAGTAGTTATTCTCAAAAAACTGTTAATGCAATATCCACAATAATTCTTACAATACAAATTATGTATTGGCTTCAAATAATATAGAAAGGGTTGATAAATCATAAAAAAAAAAAAAAAAAAATCAATTAATTCCTATATCATCAGGTCTTGACTTAATATCTATGCTGATGACACAATTATTTACATCTGTCTTAATGGTAAGTGAGATAAGTTTGATAAAGTCAAATTGGCTGCTGATCTTGAAAATGACTTTTTATCTGTGGTTAACCCAGGCAATATTATCAGTCTCAACTTGGCATCTCAGCTTTAATCCCTTTCCCACCACTATAATGTAGCTTTCCTATACTTTTTTCTACAAATATTTTTATGGCAATTGTTCTGATGAGCTTTCGTCTTTAGTACCCCGATTTCATGAATTTAAGTGTAGTACTAGCTTGACAGCTTGGTCTCATCATTTTAATGTTGAATTTTCTAATTATGAAGTCCTATTCTGTTCTATTCTAATTGTTTCTTCTCTGAAAGTTCTGGCCTATGGAATTCTTTTTCAGCGTCTGACTTTCCTATTAACTACAATCTTCACAAATGTAAATGCAACATCATTCATCATTTTCTGTCTCTTTGAATCTTGTTCTTTTTATTGTCTGTCTTAATAATAACATTTTCCTTCACTCTTTTGTCTTTCATCCTCAATAACACCTTATACATTTGGGATGAAATAATTAAAAACAAAAAACAAAAAAACACTTTGTATGCATTATAAAATAGGATTTGTCCAAAACAAGTTATTCTCTTTATTTGAAATACAAGTTGAAATTTGCAGGATACATGGCTTATATATTTTGAAAATCTTACTAACATCTGTTGGTTAACAGTAATTTTATTGTGGAAACATTGACTCTATAATAATATTTGATATAGTGTAGATCTGGAAATTTCCATGGGGGTTGAAGTCATTGTACAGTTTTCACTGGCAGTAAAAGCCACAACTTTGAATGTTTATTTTCAAGGCGGACAGGTCATCATTTGAAAGGCTGGTGCAACACAACCTTCCTAAATCATTTCCACACATTTGACAACTATGTCATACAAATGTGATCATTTCTTTTTCTTTGCCAGTTGAATAATACATATGCATCTATTTGGATAGAATTCCTTTCATTGAAAGTGTGCTTACATTGAGAATACAAAGTAATTCTGTTGGAACCAAATGGCCACCATCCTGGGTAAGACGTCAGCAGCAAGTCCTCTGATCAGGAGGTTTTGAGGAGCATGGAATCAGCTCTTAATTGCTGGTATTCCCAGGTCCACCCTGACCCAAGGTGGTAGCACCTATCAGGGTCCCAGCTATGGATAAATAGTCAACCCACTAAACTGGGGTCAAAGCACTATGAAAGTGTAAAAATAGGTTTTAATACCAGAAATACTTTGTAAAAATTATTACCAGCAATAGATTTCTGAAAAAATATTACCAGCGATACATTTTTAGAGAAAAAATATTACCATATATAGATTTTTGAAAGAAAAAAAATATCGGCAATAAAAATTGTTGGCATTAAATAACTCATTGTGGTTGATATGGCGTAAAACAAACCAAACTAAATGACCAACCTACAACAACAGAAATATCCATATTTGGTTTTTAATTTTATAAATATTTAATTTGTATCGTCAATAGAGAAAATTAGTTTGGCTTCTACTTTTACTACTGAAGAGATTTCTTTTCATTCTCTCCATTGCTTATTTCTCAACTTTCATTACCACTCGGTCACTACAACCGACAGTCTAGCTTATCGTAATAAAATAAATTACAATATCGTTGTCAATAAACCAAAGTTATAAACACTTTCATTTCATTTTAGCAAAAAACTGAAACTACAATGAAATATATTTTTTTGTTCAGATTTACAGAAAGAAATATAATGGCAAAACCTCAAATTTACAGTGATTCCATATTCAGTTTGTTTAGGACGAAAACATTTAATAAAACTGGATTGATTGAAAACAATGTAATGTATCTGTAATTTGAATCTTTCATTTTTACAGGATAGCTGAAATATCTGCATTTAATGGGGGAAGAGAATAAGTCCAACAGTAAATAGAATTCTGGAACAGCTTTCTAATGAGATTTTACAATCAACACAATACCAAAAAGAAAAATATTATATGGGGAAAAGTTTTCAAAGCAAATATATTCATTTTTTGAAGATACATCTACATTTGATGATATAAAGTGAAGAATAGCACTTGCTTTAATTGCTTTTGGAAGACTGAAGGAAAAAGATCTGGGCTAGAAAAAAAACATTCTATAGTAGATAATGTCCAGGCTCGATTACACTGATAGAAATTTATACCTGTGAAACCTGTACATTGAGAAAAGACATACAAAGGCTCTTGAGTCTTTGCAATCATCTGCTTCAGAGAAATGGCTTGGTAAAATATCAGGGAGAGAATCAGAATATCTGCCTAAAGGATAAAATCTAGATGTAAAGGCTGACATAATTCATCGCTTGATTAGAAGAAGGAGGTTGAACTGGTTTGGCTATGGAATCACAAGAGAAAAAAAAAGTTTTGTGTAGAGATTCTGAAAAAGAGTATGTAGTTGACTACCTAAGAGATGGGAAGAGTAAATCAGAAAGAACACCAGAATGCTATTTCTGACACTTGAAAGGATTGCCATGGACAGGAAGAAATGACAAAATTGTGTGAACAGGTAATGCACAAAGATCACTTTGGGATTAGACAAGTGATTGAATAAATGTTTCTAGTTGTTTACACTTCAAATTTAGATATTATTGTTTATAAATCTTTATTTTTAAAAGATTTTTATGAAAGTTTTAATCATGCATAAAGCATAGTTGAGACCATTGGTCAGAAAAGCATGCCATTTTCCATAATATTAACAATGAAAACTAGCATAAAACTATTTCTATCGTAAAGACATTTTGATATTCCTGAGCAATATTTTTTTTAATTATTACATTTTCTCAAGTATTTTGGCAATCCTAATATATTAATCAACCTGTTGTTATCTTGTCACCTTCCAGAGAGTATCATTAAAAAAAGAAAAAAAAAAAAAATAGTACTTATTTGAGAAGAGGAAATTTCACCTTGGTGATCCTTAAATGAACACCAAGCTTTATTTACTGGGTCTTGAACTACCAGAATTAATTATATTAATTCAGTACATGTCCAAGAATGGGGAAAATCACGCTTTCTGAATGTATCATTTTGTTACATTTAAAAAAATCAAAAAAAATCACAGAATGTTGTTAGCCAATGAAAAGAGAAGATTTGTAATACTTACCAGGTTCAAGTTTGATGACCTTTATAGCTGCAAGGTCACCTGAACTCAGGTTTCTGGCCTGAAAATGAGAGAGGAAAAAAGATGTTAGAAAACAGCAATAGATATTGTTAAAAGAAACTAATTCGAACTGTCATTGCATTATTCTGCAGTGTTCTTCAGGTGATGGTGACCAAGTGAGAACAGAAATCTATCCTTTCAATACAACCAATAAGAGGTGGTCAGCTGAGGCAAAACATGATTGCAAAATGTTTGTTCTTCTCTAGTTTGATTATATAGAGGTCAGCCGTGAGTAAATAAGAAGCCATGCAGATGTAATGGAGGAAACTTCACTTTGCATAACAAAGGAAAATGACAAATAAAAGCTTTAAAAATAATTTCATCAATAATAGAAAAAGAGAAAAGAATTAAAAAAAAATAAAAAATAAAAAATCTCCAATATCTTAAGCCTAAAGGAAACATTTTTAAAGGTTTTACAGTGTAGTGAACTTCCACAGATTGCAAAGAGGCCCAGAGTTGCAGGGTTGACACTTGTATATAGGTCATGTATTTTTACTAAAGTTAAATAATTTTTATTTGAAATTAATAAATTTCAAACACTGATCATACTAGTCCTCAGCTGTTCATTTATTATGAAGAGGTAAAAATGATTCTAAGTTTGAATAAAATGCATTACTACAACAAGAGTGTATGGATTATAATGGTGGATCATTTTTTTCTCAGTTCAATAAAATCAAGAAAATATTCTTAAACAAGAAAAATCTAAAATTCAAGGCATTTACTTGTATCCCAATATTGTTTCATACATCACTGAAAAGATTTTAATTAATCTACAAATGTAAAGTAGATGTCTATATTTCTGAGATGAGGTATTATGTACACTATTTACATTATTCAGATTATTGTCCTCATCCTTGCCATATTTCTCACAATGTTTCGGTTGTTGAACTGAACCCTTTATTTCGCTCGCTAGTGTGGTTCTTAAGGAGACATGGCATAGTGGATAAAGGTGTTTAGTCCAAATAATGTAAATAGTGTACATAATACCTCATCTCAGAAATATAGACAGACACACATATACATACATACATACATACATACACACACATAAAAATACACCCACGTATATACATATGCACAATACTAGTAGACTATAGCAAAAAAGTTAGACTAATTATTCAAAAATTTAAAACTGCCAACCTTATAGTTAAAAATAATAATTCACCTCTTAGAACAATATTCTACTGAGTGAAATAAAGAGTTCAGTTCGACATTCCAACCACCTGAATAAGGCTGGAGCATACAACGGCCGAAACGTTGTGATAAATATGGCAACAAAGATGAGGACAATAGCCCGAATAATGTAAATAAATGTAAAGTATTTAGTTCTATTGATTGTACATTACTGACATGGTGAAGTAGCTTTATAAAATTTACCTGCTAAAAGTTCTTTCTTAGCAAAGTTCTTTCTTCTCTTTTGCGTGTAGACAGTGTTATTTTCTCCATTATGAGGATTTGAAAAAAGCAATTTAAATGGAAGGCAGTGTCTTCTCTCAACTGAAGAAGAGGTTAAAGCTCAAAACATTTGACCTTTTTCTCTTTTCTTTAATTATTTCACTCCACGCAGGGTGATAATGCCACAAAGATGCAAGGAGTTATTGGGAGTGTAAGAGAATGAGAAAACTTTAGAAAAATGAACTGGAAACCTAATCCAAAACAAGAAACAAGGGAAAAACCTTTACTCCTGTTCAAAAGGCAGGGAAAGAAATGTGAAACAGGGTGATAAACAAACTTATCTATTCCTATTATTGTTCCTATCTTTGTTGTGTATGTCTATATTTAATTCTTCTAGTAAATTATGATGACCAACCGAATGTTGACATACAAACTGATTATCCTTTATATAGTATTCATGTGTTATTTACTTGACAGTAGACATTCACACCATATATGCAACATATAACTATGTGTGCGTGTACAAACATACACCACATGTACACAGGTAATATGAAGTGAGTTTGGTGACAATCATTTCTGACTGCAAGTGTTAGCATAAACAAATAATCAAATTGGCTAATCTAGCACTGTCAAGAAAGTAAAAGAAAAATCAAAACTGTAATTTCACAATAGGTATGACTTATGCATCGTTATATTGTTAGTTCTTATATAGAGAGTCAGAACTTTAATGGCTACTTTAAAAGTAAAATCTTGTGTTAAACTTGGTTTCTTTCCTCCCCACCATGGAAATTGTTTATATAAAAAAATATATACCTGAAAAATAAATAAATATTTACAGTTATAAACAATAGAAAGAATACCCCCTACTTACTTTTCTTAAAGTGCCCTTTTAACAACTTGATCAAAAAATTCATTTCTATAATAAATAAATAGATAAGTATTAGTAAATAGATTCTTGAGAGTAACACTCTGAACATCTAACTGGATATACTTGACTCAATGATTCAGATAGGGTTCAAAAGAAAAATAAGTGAATCAACTTTTTAATTCATTTATAAAAAAAAAAAAAAAAAAATATCAATTTGCATAAGGTAAGAATAGTTAACATAACGGCAAATTGACTGAGAAAACCAAGTTCCAATTTTGGTTGAAGTAGTTTGCATTTATCTATAACAACAAATTCCAAACAGAATAAACTAATCATTGCATTTTTTTTTCTCCTTCAGTTTCTTTTGGTTTATATCTGTCCATAAATCATTTTCAAAGCTGTGCACATCTTTTAGATGTTGTTGAATTTTTGATTACTCTTATCTTTTTAAATTTATATAGAATATTGAATCAAAGATGATTAGAAACAATTTCTGTGTCATTATATTCCAGGAGTTCAAATGCTCCTTATTCACTGGACTTATCTTTTACCAATTATTTTTTTTTTTCTGGGTCTTAACTGTATATATACACACAGACAAAGAGGTGCACATCAATGTTGACCAGGTTGAAATTAGCTTCCAGCAGTTTATCAACTCTTGTGAACATAGAATTTGTTCAATTATAATAAAAACTAACAGATTGTTGACAACATTATGTTAATGCTAATGGTACTTGAGCCAAGTAATGCTACTTTAAAGTTTGTGGTTGGAAATGTCCATTTATTATCTTCCACCCAGAGAGCATGACATAATGACTGATAGAGAATAGATTGGGAAACCACTCTTTCATATCTTAACATTATAAGCAAGAGTAACAGTAAACAGTTGTTATTCAATTATTTTACTTTGACATGGACCTGTCATATATACATACAATAACACAGTAAAGACTACATTAATCCTTAATCACTGACATTAACTTCCTTTCTCATTTCCAATGTACAACATTGGCTAAAAATAAATAAATAAATAAATAAAAACTTTTAAAATTCCATGTTTAATCTCCTATTATTTTTTATTAGTGCAAGAAATAACTGAAGCTAAACAAAAAGAAAAGTGGAGTAATGGCAAAGTCAGTTGGCAGCAAAAAGAAAAGCAAAAACTTTGCCTATAATCCAAATGCATTTGGCACTAAAATACAATAGAAATTACTGCTTCATTATTATTTATTAATCTCCTGTCAGAATTTGATCTGTCATACAAATGCCTTCCCCATAGGGTCAGATGTACATGCAGATGTGACAAAAATTGTCCTATTCCTTTAACCATGCATTTGGTATAACAGTGCCATGGGCAGGTTCAGAATGGGAGAATGGATCTTCTGGAAATAGGCAATATACTTTTTGGTAGCAGCAAATTTCTGTGACAGCATGATAGTAGATATGTAATTAGAATAAAAGTTCTGACATCGGTTGAACATATAGTTGTGAGCCCCGTAAGAAAAAGTATTTATTTTATACTTTATATATTTTTTACTTTTCAACATAATCTCCTTCCTTGTCAATGCACTTAACCCAATGATTCTCCATTAATTACATAAATCAAATGGTATATTATACAATGACATTTTCCCATCAAAATTCAGTTAATAACTGTGTCAGGCTACAAACACCCACCATGACTACTACTAGATTAGATGTGTGTAAATCAAAATGTAATGCAACATTTTCCTAAGTTCTAGAATTCCTTATAATTATTATCCTGAGCAAATCTAATGGCATGCAATTCTTCTCTCAACTCACAGAGGGGCTTTTACATGAATGCCAGAGGAAATGTGAGGATTTCAAGTGGAGGGACATGAAAAAGTGAACATCAATTCAAAAACTACTGGTGTGAAGAATCTATGCCAGGCTAAAATATCAGGAGAGACTGTATTAACGACCAATTTTGGTACAATACACTCAGTGTCCATGTTCACACGAATGGACTTATAATCTGTGAAAGAGTTTGGGTAAAGGGTAGGTATGATAAACTGAAGCAATTAATAGTCCAATGCTTTCATTGGAGTAATGATGACAAGGAGAAAGCTGGCATATTAGAAGTTAGATAATTGACACTCCAAAGATGACATTTCTCCTATTAACAGAGGAATTTTGTTTTGAATTTAGTTTAACAATGACACCAGCTGTGTGTGTGTGTGCGCGTGCATGCATGCACAAGATCACATAGGTACAAAGAATCACATATGCCTCAATGTCACACCAATAGTTAAACAAAACTTCAACTATATATACATAACCAACTAAACATATGCAGTATTCATGTATGTATATAAACTTGTTTAAGTACAAGAGTTTCTCTGAAAGTAATACCTCCTATTTTACTGCGTTGGTTGATGAAGTCAAATGTGGATATTGGTTGAAACTTCCTACCATTAATCAATAATTATTTTTGCCTTGTTATAGCTTGGCAAAATGGTACCTAATATTGAAAAGTGTATGGAGAAGAGATATGGCACTGAATTCATGCAATTGACATACTTGCTGAACATTTATAGAAACCAATCAGTGGATGTGAACACAGACAGTAAGTAATATATTTCAGCAGTAGGAACAGCAATGTGCATGCCAAGCATGCTTACTTCCAAAAATTTGACCAGACATGTAAATTTTTTACCTCCCCCTCCACCACTTCAATATATATATATATATATATATATACACACACACACAAG